AGTAAAATATACTTTATTTCTTTATGTGAAGAACTGTGCACAGTTTATAGATTTTTTTCTTTTAATTAAAAAACGTTAACTGAAAATTTTCCCACCTTCTTTACAAGAATCTGGTCTTTTTCTTTACTAAATGATAAAAATCATGAGATATTTTTTGCTTTATGATGTCACCCCTACTGGCCACAGAAGCCCCATCCAGCAACCCTAAAGTGGCCCATGGGCCACCAGTTGATAAGCACAGTTGTAGCAGGTTGTTGCGGCTCCGGCCACGTTTAATGTAGTGCAGGGGTTCTCAAACTTCATGGGTTCAGGAACCCCTTACAGGAGAGAAGAAGTTTCAGGGACCACCTCGTAACCCTCATGTTTATTAAATAATTATCTTCTATTTGTCTCTTTAATGCAATGGAAATATTTGTGTAATATAAATACTTAAGACCTGCTCTTTAACAGTGTTAATACAACTTTTATACTTTTAAACATGGGGTATTTTTCCATCAAGACACAATTAACTTACAAAAATTACAGTTTTGAGAAAATCAACAGTATCAAAAACCACTTTAAAACTTTACCTCTTCACTTAATGAGCATAACAACTGTATCACCAATTCTTCAAATTATTGCAGAAAACTCTTTACATAAAACTGAACGGAACCATAACACAGTAGTCAGACCAAGTAATAGGGTTTAGTTTGTAAACCGATCAATGCTGGAACGCAAGTAGTGTGGTGGGTGGGGGGGGGTCTGGGGGTCTTCCCTCAGAAAATTTTAATTAAAGTAGATGTGACTTCCTGCATTTTGATGTGTTTTTTACAGGTTTTTACACATCTAAGTGCTTCTATTAAAAAAAAAAAATTAATAATAATTTTTTTTACGGACCCTTAAGCACCGGTTCACGGACCTCCAAGGGTCCGGGCACTCCAGTTTGAGAACCACTGATGTAGTGAACAAAAGCTTTAAAATGACTCTTTTGGCCGTAATGGTTGCAGATCCCTGGTTTAGTCATTTCAGCAGTGAAGTAATTATTAACACAGATTAGCAGCATGAAGTTCACAACAAAACTTTTATAATAAATCAATTAAAAAAAAAATCTTAATAGTGTTCAAACCGTAAATCCTCCTAAAAGTCAGCTCTGACTTGTCTCTAACAATACCCTGACAGCTCTTACGCTAAACAAAACGAGAGAGTTAGCACGTTATTGCACCGTTGAATAGTTTCAGACGCAGCTCACCTGTGAACACACAGTTGTCAAAGGTCATGAGAGCAGCTCCCACTCTGAACTTACTGTACGGACAGTACGATCGCTTTTTGGCCTCCTGGGACTGAAGGATCAGCTTTTTTACTGTTTCTTTGGACAGGTCTCTTGAGTTTCGGTGCATGATGTCCCGTCCAGAATTGACTCCATCCATACTTGCTGCTTTTTTTTTTTTCTGTCTTTTTTGTAGACTCGCTTTGAATGAGCCTTTTGTGGCCCCACTTTAAATGTGAATGGGACAGTGGGGGAGAGGGGTGAGGGTGCAGCCGCAGCCAACCACCGGCTGGGATTTCAACTCAACGTGCTGTTATGAAGGAAGAGGAGGCGGTTCTGTTGTTGGTGCATTTAATGAGTAGCTTTGCTTTAGGCTAAAAAAGAGATTTAGGTCTTGGTGGAAAACTGTTTTCCTGGTTTATTTTTTATCTTTTAATCAGGGGAGCTTTGTGACCGAAATCAGAAAGTTAAGCCTGAAAGAAATTGTGTCATTATTGTACTAAGTGCGTTTTTTTATTGTCAGTAGAAATAGTATGGTATGGTATAAAGTTTATTCATTTTAAAAAGGTACAAAACAATTCCATAACAATATAAAGAAAGATACAAAAGATTTAAAATGAAAGGCTGCAGAAAGAAGAAAAAATCTAATTATATCTGCCCCTTTTTTTCAAACAGTTATTTCAATCATAATAATAAAATAAATAAATAATAAATAAATAAATAAGCCAGGTCTTTAATACTATTAAGATGCTCAGCAAATAGTTTAGACATTGAAAGTGCCAGGTGGTTTCATTTACCTATTGTTTAATTAAAATAAGATTATTGTATATATACAATATAAATTATTATTTATTTGATACTCCTTTTACTATTTAAATTTTTATTGCATAGCTGTTTTGTCTTTTTAATTATTATTGTCATTATTATTATTATTTCTTGTATTTTGTTCCTTTTGTGCTTTTTATCTTGTCTGTACAGCACTTTGGTCCTGTATGATATATTTTTTAAAGTGCTTTATAATTTATTTATTTTTAATTTACCCTTTATTTATACATTTAGTCTCATTGAGCCACAAGAACTCATTTTCAAGAGAGACCCAGAGTGGGGCGGATGAGGTAAACATATTTTTTGAATTGAAGCTGTTGAAGATGAGATCCATTTCATTTTTGTCTGTAACCTTTATTGTTCGTATGGCAACACTCTTTGCATGAAATACTGGATGATAGTAATTCCTTTGTTAGGTTAATGTCTGCTTGTGACACAGAAAAGGCTTGGTTACTTGGAGCATACGAGGCTTTTAAAGCTATGAAAATAAATATTTTATTCACAACATATATGTAAAGCTGTGATAGGCTCAGACTGTGTTAAATACTTGTGTGTTTTGTGCCCTGGTAATGAATTATGTGGTTATTTTTGCTGTGGAGCTCTGGCTTGGAAGGTCTTATATTCCTGAATAAACTATTTTTGACTTTGACCTCAGAAAAATGGAGCCAGAGAGATAAAAAAAACAATCTAATACATAAAATCTGTAACATTTTTTAAAGAAGGCCTCATAAATACTGTCTGATAACAGTGCATTTAGCTGGTTTACAATAATCCTAGTGATCTGTGTAATCTCAGTTATAATAATAATGATAATAATAATAATGTTATAACTGCAGCCAGTGCGTTCAATTCACCCCATGTGAATTTCTGCTGATGCAGTTTTAGCAAATTTACTTACATTTGAACAAAAGAGCTTTAAAAACACTCATTAATTCCAGTCCATCACAATTTATTGAAATATTTCTGACAATGGTCTTTGCTGTGAGTGAAGTCATTTTTTTTAATTATTATTGATGACCGATTTAATCCATGTGTAGTAGTTTCTGGCCTTTGTATAGACACCAGGGTATTCAGGAATGCCACAGCCAATGCCCCAAGACACGATGCCTTCCAGTTTACCATTGCAGACAAGCGGTCCTCCTGAATCACCCTGGGGAGAGCCAGAGTGAAAGGTTTATTATAGCTGTGCAGCACAATTTTGGAATGCAAGAAGTTCTAGCATAAAATCAGATTTTTTTTTTTGTTAGTTTTCCACCCAGTTAGATTATGCATCCCTTGACGAAAAAAAAGTTTAACACCCATGGAGAGCAGTAAAACAAAATGAAACTGCATGTGGTGAAAGGTGATCGACTGTAATGAACACTGTTGGCAGTTCAGGCACTCTGCAGGTCGCATGTCAGTAGGGCGTGACAGCCCGCAGGCCTGAACAAAAGCAACAGTTTGGTGCAGAACAAAGACGTACAGCGGTTTTATCCTCTCCTTTGGCAAGGTGGCTCTCAGGGATTGTAACTGTCTCAAGATCCAGCAAATTGGCACAAGACTGGAGTCGACATCCAAGCTGCTTCCACATGTGTGGGAAAGACTGGAGGGACTGGTTGCACCCAGGAAGACCTCAGCAAGTCCCGGTCAGTCCATAGACACACTCCTGTGCGTGAACATATGGAACAGCAAAATGCTCAAAATTAAATAAATAAATAAAACATTATGAAATAAGAAAAAAGATCATTTTTATTCTTTTATTTCACAATTGTGTTTTATAGCTTATTAATTTTGGTGTTCCATAT